TATACAAGGTACACCTCTTACAATTAAAAATGTTTCATAAACATTTCTTTTTGCCCAATTTTGCTAGAAATACAAGGTTAAGCCCTAACAATCTGCAATTTTCCAGAATCATCTGATTGTGTCCTATTTTGTTTAAAAAAATGCAAGGTTAACCCCTTACAATTTGAATTCTGTTTCATGAACATCTAATTTTTCCCAATCTTATTCTTTGCAAAATTTCACTAAAAAAGCAAGGTTAATCCCTTACATCTGAAATTTTTCGGAAACATCTGATTTTGCCAAATTTCGCTAAAATATGCAATGTTCACCCCGTACAATTTGAAATCTTTCATAAACATCTAACCCCATACAATCTGCAATTTTCCAGAAACATCTGATTCTTCCCGATTTTGCTTGGAGCCTTGGAGCTCAGACCATGTGTCATGCACTCCTCAATGCATAGATGATGCACATAACACTATGGGTAGTACAGGCACAGCTAGGGGTAGTGCCCAAACAATGATGAATGCATCGCGTATGCTTAAAGAATTACCCACAATTCCGGTTTTTACCGTTAAGGTCTGGCTCTAATCACTTTACGCGATCCCCTGACGTCTCATACACTGACTTTAGGCAAAATAGTCAGACTTTCGCTGTCTAGTAACAATTTGAATTGTTTCATAAACATCTAACCCCATACATTCTGCAATTTTCCAGAAACATCTGATTTTTCCCGATTTTGCTGAAAAAATGCAAGGTTAACCCCTTACAATTTGATTTTTTTTTCATAAACATCTAACTTTGCCCAATTTTACATTCAGCTTATGTTAACAAATCATCAGGTAGTTGGATCATTAAACGGGACAGGTGCACATCAGCCTTGGAGCTCAGACCATGTGTCATGCACTCCTCAATGCATAAATGATTCACATAACACTATGGGTAGTACAGGCACAGCTGGGGGTAGTGCCCAAACAATGATGAACGCATCGCGTATGCTTAAAGAATTACCCACAATTCCGGTTTTTACCGTTTAGGTCTGGCTCCAATCACTTTACGCGATCCCCTGACGTCTCATACACTGACTTTAGGCAAAATAGTCAGACTTTCGCGGTCTAGTAACCAGACTTTGACTGTTAACGAAACATCGAATGAAAAGGGAAACATCAAATGCATATTGCAAAAGATCGAATGCAAACATACCGATGAAACATCGAATACAAATAGCTCGAAATGTCAAACATATGTGTAAAACATTGCTCACATATTTGAGAATATCGCAAATATATTGTAAAACAACACACACAATTGTATCGAAAAACATCGCACATTTAATGCAAAAAATCGAACAAAATATTGAAAACATCGCGCACATATATTGAAAATCGGATATAAATGTAAAACATCGCACACATATATTGGACATCGCACATATATTGTAAAACATCGCACAAATATATTAAACATCGCGCAAATAATGAAAAACATCGCACACTTATATTGAACATCGCACATAAATGTAAAAGATAACAAGCACATATTAAACATCCAACATATATATTGCAACATATTGAATATTGCAACGTTTGACACGCCATAACTGTGTCACAGGTTATTTACATCACAGGATTTCTTGCCACGCCCTGCTACGCGACCACGCAAGGTAACATTCCATTCCCTCGAGCTAAGTACGGGACTAGAAAACTAGACGGAGAACTCCAGTTAGTGTTCATGGGTAACACACGGGGGAGAGAAACGCTAGTGCCGCTGAGCAGTCTCTCGGAGAACGCCAAAGCACGCATGCTATGGGGAAAGGAACTTAGCTCGCTGGGGCGAAGGGAGGTGTGGTCAGTCGCGCACATGTACATCGCTACATGAATAATGCATACAGTAGCGCGCGTGGTATTGCATCATGCGCTGTGCTTGGTAAGAGACCCGGGGAATAAAAGTGCAAGTTGGCAATTTACGATAATTAGGTAAAATAAGGGAACAGCAAAAGACAACAATAAGATTGTGTACTTCATGGACAGAGTGAATCCAGAGGGCGCTAGATTTCCACAATCAAGCATTCTGGGTTCGTAACAATATGTTCATGGGAACTCGTTCAACAAGAAAGAAAATGAGATTGTAACAATTTCGTGCTTTAAACGTCAGAAATAAAATCCGAATGAATTAAGGCAACGTCATGACAACAAAAGTCACATTCCTTATTGCGCAATAACCCAAGAAATTCCCAAGAAGTTAATTTGTTCTTCGCATTTTTTCCAGGGCATTTTTCCCAAACACTTTTTTTGAACTACACCTTTCTGTCTGTATTTATTTTTCGCACGGAGACAAATGTGCCAAGCGGTTTTATGCTATATATTTTTTTTTCAATAGATAGCGCGCCACATGCTCGGTGGTCAACACTGCCAACACAGCGTCAACACGGATACCTCACTAGTTTTTTAGTAAAAGTAAGTCATGGTTTGGGCAATATCAAGAAATACTGAATGTCATAACTCAATATTATATCGATTAATTGTTCATAATGTGTCACGAACGTCAGTATAATTTCACGAAAACTTGTGAAATCATGTGTCAAATTCGGAAATTAAATTTGATGAGAATTAAATTTAATCTGATGAACATTTACTCTAGAAGCTAAAATGCTTTATACTTGGTGCACTTTTGTCTTTTCAATAATGCGAACTCGGCAACCGATTTAGCTGAGTTGGTTTGACTGGTAGTAAGTCGCCGAGGCAAGATGGGGGTCACCAGGGCGCGATACTAAGTGGCCGTGGCAGGGGAGTAACTCGCCGCGGCGAAATAGGAACTCGCAATTGTTTCGTGGCCCTTCTCGCTTCTGTATATACGCCCAGGAAGCCCGCGCTGTATTATATATAATAGGTTCGCCGCACATTTTAAAACTTTTTTCATTCAAATTCATAAACGGTTAACCTCAATTTCGTCTCGAGAAGACTGGAACGCGTAAATGCTTCAATTAATTTAGTCGTTGGTCATTCCAATGGATCAATGATCAATTAATTCCAACATTTTGTCCATTCTACGTCGTCAAATTGTAAAGGAATTCTCCAATTGATAACATTGATTGCCAAATGACGAAATTGATTCATATATCGCACGTTCGACAATTGCGGACGACGAAATTGAATTGTCTTTCACGAAAACGTATGGATACGTTATAACATTGTTTGAACAAAGTGCGAAATGAGCGATCAAAGACGAACTTGAACACGGGGTATGCAAGATCATGGATTTTCAAGACGACGAAATTGAAGTGTCTTCACAAAAACGTATGGATAGTATGAAATTGTTTGAACAAAGTGCAAAATGAGCGACCAAAGACGAAATTGAACATGGGGTATGCAAGACTTTAGATTTTCAAGACGAAATTGCAGTAAACCGTTCATTAATTTGATAAACGTTTTAAAATGTGAGGGAAAACTTATATAAGCGCCCTAACATACATGTATCGACAACAATGATACATTTCTGAAATAAGGCCTTTCAGTAATATGCAGCTCTGAGTTGCTACGATTGCATTTGTTTTGACAGAATATGACACGGATATGTGAGTAGTCTAGATTCCAGCTTTACTCTCCGAATGGTTATAAAGTAAAAGGGTTGGGAGGGGGGCCGGCGGTGGGCATGATCCCCGTTTCCCCCTAAATCTGCGAAAATTAAATGCAATCTCTTCCCAATCGTGAACTCGTTACTCATTGCTTTTGGGTAAATCTAAATAATGATGAGTTGAATGGAACTTAATACGGAAAACATGCGTCATCATCATAGCCAAAGTGATGTGTGAATTACTGGACGGAAGGTAATCATCCAAAAGTAAAACAAAGGATTTTGAGTGTTTTTTTTGTCGTCAAGTTTCTCAGTTATAAAGGGTGGAAAAAAAAAATGTGGTTTAGTCTGCTCTGACAATAATAATCTCCTTGATATGATCGATATTCTTATTTTATTTTTAAGTACAGCTTAACATTTGAAGTTTTAAATCTACTTCTTTTGGGAATATTTGAGTATTAGTCATGTCTTCCGCAATTTACATGTGACTTTTCATTTATTTGAAGTTTTGCAATTTTTTTCGTGGCCTTTCCACGCTTCCATAAATGAAGCCCGCTATGAGTATTATTACAATGAGAAGTACGTCCCCAATAAGGCCTTTCAGTAATATGCAGCTCTGAGTTGCTAAGACTGCATTGGTTGCGGCAGTACATGCACGACATATATATATGTGAGTAGTCTAGATTGACTTAGGACGATTTTAAATGTAGAGGGTGGGGCCGAGGGGCATGACCCCGTTGCCCCATGGATCCGCAAAAACCGAATGCAATCTCTTCCCAATCGTGAACTCATCAGCCATTGTATTTGGGTTAATCTTAATAATGGTGAGTTGAATGGAACTTAACACGCAAAACATGTGTCATCATAGTAATGATAATAGTGATGTGTGAACTACTGGACGGAAGGTAATTGTAAAGGATGGAAAATATCTTGTCCAATTAAGTCTGCTCTGACAATAATTATCTGCTTGATGTTATCGATTTTCTTACTTTGTTTTTTTTTAAGTACAGCCATACGTTTGAAATTTAAAATTTTCCTGCTGCTGAGGGAATATTTTAGAATGAGTCATGCCTTCCGCAATATGTGACTGTTTTGTTTTCCAGACTCGTGCAGTTTTCCAGTTGAGTGTGATACGCTTCGCTTGTCTTCATCAGTACGATTCGTACGTCATCAATGTGAGTTAGAATCGAATTTCAGATCTGTCGCCCATTATTGGGCAAAAGTTCAAACTGCATGCCCATTTTGACGCACAGTCAAGTACACGTGATACGTGAAGTACTGTTAGCAAATAAACAGTTAGTCGCCAGACCTTCAACTGATTATGTTTCCATACGTCATTGAATCACGTGAATGCTACGGCTACTAGTATAAGGGGCTCTCGTCGTACAACGGCAGCACACACAAAGTGGAATTCACCAACGTTGGTTGTCAATTAGATTATGACAAGTATTTTTTTGCGGCCTCTACACGAAACTGATCTACATTGATTGCAAAATCCAAATAATACTAACAAACCTTAACAGTTCAATCGTCAATATTGCGGTTTATAGCGCAAAATACAAACACAAATCACTGTCGACAATATGGGAAGACTACCACTTCCTGTGATTGTTTTTGACAAGAAAGGACTGTTTTCCCAAAGAGATTTTGTGTCAGGAGAGGTGAAACTGGAGGTGGACACAGAGGGATTACATGGCATTAAAGGTAAGCCCTGAATCGGGGTACGTTAAGTTTGCTTTGTGATGACAACATATTATAAAAAGAAAACACAAAATAAAGGGACCAGTTTTGTCTGAAATGCGCAGTTTTGGGTTCAGATGCGCATTAAAACATTTAAGTAAACTGAAGTTACCTTCCGTTGCAATTTATCCAGGTAATGGATGTGGAGACTATATGGGAAAGGTATGACTACAACACTAGATGTAGGTCTGATATTTTGCAATTTGGTTTTACTTCATGGGTGATGTTTCAGTCTTCAATTGACTTTTGCATTTAGGTGTCTGGATGGTGATTACCTGCGAGGCAAGAAATGCGTTCAGTACTCACATGTTTGTACATCACGTACAGAACGAAGTTTACTTCGACTCCACTCTTATAGTGTTTGGAGCAGGTATGTTGACATTTTCGGCTACATTTTGTGTATTGTTTTGGTCTCAAAATTGAAAAGGACCATAGAGTAAATCAGTACTGACCCTGTCAGTATGACTCTGCATGGGTGTTGCGGGGGGAAGGCTTTCCCCCTCCCCGGCCTGGACAAGCAACAAAAACAAAAAAAAACAAAGAGACAAAAAGGAGACAAAAAAGGGGGAACAAAAAAGAGGCGCGAAATAATATTGTAGTTGATTTAAGGGGGTGGAGAAATGTCTCTGCCCACCCTCGAAACAAATGTATCAATCGGGAAAATGCTGGAAAATATAGGGATTTGGAAGGAAAAATGTGCTTTTCCTTTTCTAGAAGAAAATCCTGGCGACGCCTATGTGATTCTGTCACCAACCAAATTTCCGTATCTGATCTACAGGAAAAGATACGAAAGCTAAAGCGGATTTGAGCCTACCGCCAGGGATTCACTCTTTCCCGTTCAAATACCGCCTTCCTACCGACAAAGTTCTCCCGTCTGTCTTCCTGGGTGCATACGGAAACGTCCTCTACAGTGCGAAGGCGACTTTATGGTGTGAACGGGGGATTTCCGGCCTGGCGCGTCACACGGAGAGGATGTTCGGCGTGCAAGGGCCGACGGTGAACCTGAACAACCTGCTCGAGCTTAATTTGAAGGTTCGTCCCAACCCTGATAGCCTTTGCTAGTATCGGTGAGATGTGCATTTCATAAATGCAACGGAAATCCTATAAGCCTACGGCAGGGGACAATGACCAAATATTGTCATCATAGAATGTGCCCATCGTTTATATAGAGACGCTTACACATTGCTTTCACTGTGCTTGCGTGAAGAGTAGAGAGTGGTCGACTGCAGGCGCGATATCTAGAGCCTATATATTCATTTATGTATAATGTTTTTGGGAGGGGGGGGGGTTTAGCAGTGGTGGATCCTGAAATGTTTGCAGCAAGGCGTGCTGAAATGTAGAGCGTTTTTCCCCGGACACTTAGACCTCCGAGAATCAATAGGTGTATTGGGGGGGGGGGATCGTACCTTACTTTCAATAGGGAACGCTAATACAATCCTACAATCATGCACAAGTTATTATCCCTAATGGTGCAAAAATTCACTTTCTCACCTTTTTAGGGGGGAAGCAGTTCGCTCGTGATGTTTGCTACTGCCATTTGCCATGTCATTTTATGGGGTATGCGGCTAGACCCCCCCCCCCCCCCAGAACCGCGCCTGGTCGACTGATGGTTCTTGCTCGAAACTTGCTCTCGATGATGGCTCGTTAACCTTTTCCCATGTTGACCTCTTCTTAGGTTCCAATAACCCGCAGCACCGAAGTTCGTAAATTGCTCGGACTTGGTGCCACGACGGGGACTGTCCATTTTGGCCTCGCCAAGCGAGGGTTTGTTCCCAGAGAAAAGATCACCGTCACAGGCTGCGTGGACAACGTCAGTGGGGAAGAACACCGGATCATTAAAGTCGCACTTGTAATGGTATGTGTTACACTTCATTGATGATGCAGGTTGATCGGTTCAGCCAATTTACCATGATTCGCTAAGTGACTGGACTCCATGCAGGGGTAATGGAGGTTTGAAACGACTGCTCTTCATCCCCGTCCTACAACGGGTTTGTGTAAAAAAAAATTAAACGAGAGAAAGAGGGAAGGGCGCCCCTTTCATAAATGAGGCTCAACTCAAGTGTTTATTTTCAGATTTTGCAACGGCCAGCCGTTAGGAAACTTCACCCTCTCCCAAACTGACAATGTGATTCTGGATTCCTAATGGGGCGCCTTCATGTCGTCCGCCAAAGACAGTTTATTTTCTTTAAATTGAAAACCCATTTGCCAATTTACCAAAATGCCCACGGATATTATTTTGACAACCGAAAATGACTTGGCTGATCATGACGTCATCGGACCGAAAATTGTAGGTACAATCTGAAAATTTTCAGATATTATTTTTTCCGATTCAAATCCATCGGTTGATCCCTGTCCAATGCCGATGTCCGTATAACCTTATAGTGCTATCAGCTGCAATGTTGACCTTGGGCTTCGTCATACTGTGACATCACCAAATCAGAAGTTAGGTGTAATGGATACAAGCATTAAATATTCGTTGTAATCTTTCTATTTCAAGAAATTATTTTCACTTCAAGATGAATATGAATCCTGTCTGAACTGAATCTGTATCCCGTTCGCTCATTTTAGCTGATGACGTCATCAAGCCGGAAGTAACGTGTACATGTACATACAAATATGTAATGACATTTTTACCCAACCGAAACAGAAAGCATTTTTTTTAAACACTATCAAATGGTTTTGCTGGAAAATGCTAAATTTCGTGAATCTTTTCTGATCTGGCATATTCAAGTTTTTAACTTCGTTAAACGAATTTAACAACTTTTAAGAGCAATGTCCAATGAATTAGTTGCCTGCCTGGTGATTTTGCGTTCAACAGAGGCTTCTAAGTTTCATTTCCCCTTCCCGTTTTAACATGCATATTATCCAGGAGACTACTTACACTGTCGCAGGGATTTCGGTTGAAGGCAGAGCGGAACACAAGAAGACATTATCCCAGACCGACCGCAGCATTTCATGTCCAAGGGGGAAGGTGACCAAATTCAGAATGTATCCTCTGCGGTTACCCACCGGCTGTCCTTCGTCCGGCCTACCCGGCTGCGAGATGATAGACGTCCAATATTACGTCAAGGTGGGCTAGAATTTGTCTAATTAAGAGTAAACATGAAAGCAAAGGTTCCATTTGCATAGATATAAGAGCTCAGAAGTCTGAAAAAAAGACAGAGAGAGGACAATGATAATAACACTTTTGTAAGGTGAGGGGAATGCAACCTAATGCACACCCAAGGCAAAAATGTAGGATTCCTTATAATACATTATGTTAGATTTTCGTTCTCGTCGCAGGAGGCAACAATATATCTTGTCTAAAAATGCTCCTGTTTTGTTCGAGGTCAGTGCAACATACATGCAGAATAAGCCGGTTGGCAGTTCCTACTGCGCATGTGCCAAAGAAGATTCGAGTGTTTTCTCTTCATGGCGAAGATAGAGGGCACAAATAACGATGGTCCTTGGACCCAATAATATCCGAACCTCCCGACTGCAATGATTCATGTAATTAAAAAAAGGAATTTAATTCGCAAGCAAATTGACCGTAATTATGTATTGTGCAACCTGAAGCTGCGGTCATTTTTTTCATGACTTCCGAGCTTATTTAATGTTGTTTGCTCCCTGTAATACCCTTTATTGTGTGGATAGTAATTAATGCCCACGGGAGTATAAATAACAGAAAAACAGTTATAATCACGGTGACCTGTATGATTAATCATTTAAACAACCTTATAACCAACTTGTTTATGTCTACACGTTAACCTTTTTTTCTCGCTCACTATCTTCCTTCACAATGCTTCAAAACCTAAAGTGCAATACATCGGGCTGCATCGAGACATCATTCCGGCTGACTGTGGGCACAGTGCCTATCCGTTCTGTCAGTGGTCCGGTGTTTCCGGTACTGACCACTGCAGGGGCTACGGCATGCGTCCAGCCATCAGTGGCAACCCCGATGGACAAAACCAAGATGGCCGCACCAACCCTCGAGTGCCAAGCACGGCCCTCCAGCTTTACACATGGTAAGTACGAGAAATGATTGGCAGCCGATTGACTATCCCCTTACTAAGCCCTCGTTCTCCCAACCTCGTTCTCAAGGTCCAAATATCCTCAGTGACAAAGCAGCCCTGGAATGATAACTAGGCATACCTCCTGCATTGTGCTTTCTCAAAATGAGAAGTAACAACTGAGCTATAACTTTGACGAGTTAGTTGATGCTACCTTCTTAATATCGGAGCAATGTTTGGGTTGAAACAAACAAAGGCAATGTTCCCCTTTACATTTAATAACCAGTAGAAACTTACAGGTGTCTGTGTATTGTGAATAATAAATGGGTTCAATCTTTTCGTTTAGTCCTAATCTATTTTTTTTCCATAACTGTTGTGTCATGCTGTAAAAAGGTCCAGTCTCTCGTGTCGAGGACGCCCCGCCGTCCTACGAGGAGGCAGTAGCCAGCGGAACCACCAACGACATTTGAAGGATGATGACATGCAACATCTTTTCATGCTTAATATAAATAGAACATAGATGTGAACATATCAGAGCGCTGTAAGGACTTCATTTTGTGGGTACAAACAGGTGAAATAGAATGTTATTGAAGCACGTAATTAAAGTTATCACAATCTGAAAATAAGACGTTGTTATCATGTTGTTGTTTTTTAAATTATAGCACAATGTAAATTGCACCGATAACCTTTTATGTATGTTTGTGTATGACCCAATTCCACCCACCCCCCAACTGGCGCCCATACAGCATCTTTCATTTTTCCCAAGAAAACTATGCCCTAGTGTAATAGTCAGTAAAAAGTCACTCAGAGGCTTAACACTTGATGTAAATAGTTTGCAATTGAAACGTGGGCGTTGGAAAAGAAAATGCAATGATAAAGGTTAGTGGTATGACCAGTGGTCAATCAATGGCGTGTTGATTGAGACACTCGCAAAACCGTCAAGTAACTAACACTTCTTGATCTTACCATGTGCATGGCCCTATTGTATTGTAACTAACGCTTCTTGATCTGACCATGTGCATGGCCTTATTGTATTGTTATTATGTTGTAACAACTTTGAGTGAAATCATCTTCTTTGTGGACACATTTATGCGAAAGTTTCGAAATAATTACAAATATTTCAGAAAAACATGTCGGAATGTTACATCTTTAAATATTGTTACTGCCCCTTTTACATATTTAAATTAACAATTTTAAATAAAAACAATTTTGATTTCTATCTTCCGAGGCCTAAGACGGTTTGAAATCCAAATGTCGAAACTAATGCAGAATCAGTAACTTTAGAAAAAAAAATATAAATTTGGAAATAATTCAGATTGTCTATTTTGTTTTAGCGCATTTACATACGTTTTACTATTTATTGTTAACTTAAGTTTGAATAAAGTTCGGAGTAATTTGCTAAATGTTTCGTGTCTTTGTCTCATTCATAAGATTGTTATCAATCTTGCATATTACTTTACAATGACGATTATTCCTATTGTGAGAATAGCTCATTTCAAACAAACGCAATGGTACATAGGCCGACCTGGTGGGTACAAAATGTTAACTGAACTCGCCGCTGCTACAGGTCTTAGCATAAGTTTGCAATTCACTCAACACTTTTATTCCCAAGATACGCTCTTTACCAAATATCACACGCCTGTCCAAAAAAAAGTGTGGTTTAAGACAAAACGTTACACAAGGTGAGGACCAAAGTTGAAAAAAAAATGACCATTTTGGTACCATATTTCAAAAGGGGGCGCAGTTCAAATTCGACGATTATTAACACTAAATTACAGTCTGGTGTACCGTATTTTGAACAGGAGGACATTATACCAGTATATATATATATATATATATTTTTATTTTTTTTCGGCAGGGGGGGGGGTGTCACTGGGGGGGGGGGTTCGACTTATTTTTTGGGAATTTGTACGACATTTTGTTTTTGACAGAGCTTGGGGGAGGGGCTGGTTTGACCCCCCCGCCCCGGATCCGCGCCTGCAATCTCTATTTCCCCTCGTGACAGACTGAAACAAGCCCATTATTAGGGAGGCCAACAAATTTGCCAAATCTAGTAGCCAGTGTGCTGTTACTGCGTCCTATAGCATTTGCTTTTAATTGTAAAAACGACCCAGATTAAACCATTCACTAAATGTTGTTCTTCTCTTGCCTCTCGCCCCCATTATTATCACCCCCTCTCTTTTTTACTGCTCATCTACACAAGGTTTTTTTTTTTTTTTTTTTTTTTTTTTTTCCGTGTTTTCAACAACCCCTAACCTACCATGCTATGAAGTGTTCCCCTTCTTTATGTGATGTTTGGATATGTTTTTTATTCGTACTTAATTGTGCGTGTTTGTTGATCCTCCGGTGTTACGGGAGGGGCTATTGCCTCGTCCGTTCTCTTGTCTGGAGTTTTTTGTTTGTTTAGCTTTTCAGTGGAATTTGTTAATTTTATATGTTAAATATTAAATATTGGAATGAGTAAATTAAAAGTAATGATTTAGGACTTACAACATCAATTAGACAGAGAGTAATCCATAAGATTATTTGTAATCCTTGTAATTATTTGTGTCGGGGTGATGTAAATCAAATAAGGTTGCAACTTTCACTCGGGAGGTAACACACTGAGTATACAGTGTTACACGTTGGTGAAGGGCAGAACCTAATTTGATAGACAAAGAGTAACTTTGTACTAAAAGGAAATGCCAGGTTTATCAAATGTGAGTGGTTGCAAGCATGTTACGTGGTTGGGTCTGGCTCGGAAAATAATTAAATGTTGATATTCCTTATAGAAAAACGTATTTTTAAGTATAACCTCACATTTGAAGTATTATGTTTCTGCTTATGGAATAGTTTAATATGAATCATCTTTTTTTTCGCAACCATCATGTGACTGTTCATTTATTTGCAAGCATGACGTTGTTTTCCAGGCAAGCGCAGTGTTGCAATCGACATTGATATGGCTCGTTTGTATTAATCAGTCCAATTCTATATGTCACTGATAAGATAGGAAAGGCGAAGGAAGCGAATGAACGTAAAGTTCAGATCAGCTGGCCATTATGGCGCAAAGGTTCAATCTGCATGCCTATTATACGCACAATCGGGTACACTTCAGTACGTGAAGTATTTGTTATCGCGTAAATGCAAATATGTATAATCACCTGACTACTCTGATATCTATTTTCCATTACGTCATTGACTCACGTGAATTCATGCTGGGACTATTATAAATACAGGTCATGCCTTGCAGCAGAAGCACACATGAAGAAAGAATCACACACGTTGGTTGTCAAGCTATACAAAACTCATATATACTTACTGTAAAATCGAAATAATAAACTAATCCATAATAGCAGTTTATAGCGCACAACACACACAAACATAATTCTATTTAGTATGGGCAAACTACCTCTTCCGGTTATTGTTTTTGACAAGCAGGGTGTATTTTCTCAAGGCGACTTCGTGTCAGGAAAGGTGAAACTGAAGTTGGACAATGAGGGATTACAAAACATTAAAGGTAAGCCAATCTGGGTTGCTTGTCTGAAATGCGCCGTTAAACAAGGCATCAAAGGAATGAGGTATAAAATGCTTCGTAACATGGCCGATTAAATTCATCAAACTCGTCCTTCACTTGCTAGGGGGAATGGGATCTATTTTTCTCATGCTAGTTTTGCTGTCTTTTGTATTTCATTTAAATGTTGCTATTTTCCCAAGCAATATAGAGTTATTCACTTACGGATAAGACATCCACCGAAATCAGCTCACGTTTCGGCTTTAGTTTAGTTATTGGATTATTTCATTTTAAATATTTCAGATTTCTAGACACCCGACAATAATTTCTTCTCGCAGGGTAAGCTGGCTCCAGCCCTGCAATCAGTATAGATAATGCATGGACCGTGAACTAGTCTACTCGCAAGGCAAATAACGACAAACGTAAGCTCCCGCTGACGGTTGGATCAAGGCCTTTGTCTGGATCCAAATGGTTTGCATAAAGTAGTGGCCGCATGAGGTCGCTGCATAGCGATCAGTCATCGCGCGGCGAAGATATGCCGCAGATAATACCGGCGCCAAAGGCTCTATAGGATCTTTGGTACGGACGGATAATGACGAACGCCTTGACCTAGGCTATTCCATGTATTGTTCGTTAGTAATTCAATTCTGATAAACATTGAAAATGGAACTTGTAAACACATGCTTTTTGCTTCGGGGTTATTAAATAACATGTGGAAGGCGAACTTCTAGATACCCTCAGCTACGAAAGGAGGGGGAAGACGGAATGGTGAGAAAGGTAAGATAACAACACATACTTAAATATAGGTCATTATGTTTTCTACATTTTCTCTATATTGGTGTCCACTATTTACTTCTGCCTGCAGGTGTCTGGGTTTTAATCACTTGTAAGGCAAAGGCTGAATTCGGTACAGGAACGGCCACGGACGATCATGAACAGGAAGACGTGCACATCAACTCCATTCTTACTGTATTCGGAGCAGGTATGTTGACTTAAAAAATATTCATCGGAAAGTATCGAAAAGGACCATGTAATCAAAAGTGAGTTAATGCTGGGCCTATCTTTATCGCAAGACTAAAAGGCTTTAAGAAGTCCTTTGAACATTCATAACATTGGAAATTTATAATTGCGTATTAATGTTCTAATAAACCACGTTTATATTTCTTTACCTGGTGTACAGGAAAACGTGCACCGGCCAAACCGGATTTGAGCCTACCTCCAGGAAACCACTCTTTCCCGTTCAAGTTCCGCCTGCCAACTGACAAAGTTCTCCCGTCCCCCTTCGAGGGCGCGTATGGCCACGTCCGCTACAGGGCAAAGGCGACTTTGTCAATTGAAAGGATGATTTTTAACAAGGAGAGCCACACCGAGAGGGCTTTCACCGTACGTGGACCGAGGGTGGACCTGAACCGCTTACCCAAGTTAAATTTAAAGGTTTGTGGCATTCGATTGGTTGAGGGTTCTGGTTTGATTTTATGTAGCTTGATTCAGCGATGTTTAGTGGCCCTTTTCGCCTGGTAGGGGAGGAGGAGGTACATGTGCTGCGATGGTAGCATCGCAGAGACATCAACGAAACGCCTGCGCCATGCAATTAGCGAGGAGGCGTACGGTACATCTCGAGCTGATAATCATTGTGCTGCAATTAATGCAACTCAACCTTTCATTGATCGTTTATCTAGGTTCCAGTGAGCCGCTGCTGCGAAGTTCGTAACCTCTTCGGGCTCGGCACTAAGAAAGGAGCGACTGTCGATTTCGGCCTCACCAAGCGAGGGTTTATTCCCGGCGAAAATATCATCGTCACCGGTTGCGTGGACAATATCAGCGGAGAAGAGCAGAGGGTCATTAAAGTTGCACTTGTTCAGGTATGTGTGACAATGTACAATGCAGGTTGGCTAATTCAACCAAAACAAAATGATGTGTTAATGCTCTGTGCATAGGCAGTTGAGGTTTGTTGACCACTGTTTTTAAATCGATGTTATTCATCCCCTTCCTTTAATACTACGGGTACGTATATTTCAAAGAGTAATGGCGCCCCTGGTGATAAACGAGTCACGATTATAACATTAGTCATTGTATTTCCTTTTCCTAAATTGTAAATCCCAATGTTTAACTTTTGAACAACTTAATTTATTTTGGAACAGTTTATACACATTTCAACGCGTTTTAAGAGGGGACACAGTAAAAGGTCTGGTTTCAATTTTGAGTCGGTTTTAAATTGTTTCCGTTTCATTTAGGAGACTACTTACACCGTCGAAGAATTTTTGGTTAATGCCACGGAGGAGCACAAGAAGATATTATGCCGGTCCTCCCGAAACATCTCGTGTCCAAAGGGGAAGGTGGCCAAATTCAGCATGAACTCCCTTCGGATACCTATCGGCTGTCCTTCATCTGGCCTACCCGGCTGCAAGCTAATAGACGTCCAGTATTACGTCGAGGTAGTTGTTGTTGTTGTTGATGTGTTGTTGTTGTTGTTGATGTTGTTGATGTTGTTGTTTTTGTTATGTTTAGATATGTTTAATTTTTCATTAATTATTGTTTTTGTAACAATTATTGTTATTCTTCTTCTTTTTTTTTTTTGGGGGGGTCGTAATCAAACTAATGGTTCATCGGAAGTATGAATACAAAAACCAGGGGGGGGGTGGAGAGAGAGAAAACATAACACTTTGAAAGGTGAGAGGAAACGCATTGAATGCTATTTCAGGTCAGGGAACGAAATTTAATTCAAGAAATGTATGGCCCATCAGAATAAATACAATTCATCGGATATGCAGGATTTTTGTTCTCGTCACAGGAAGAACTTCTGTTCCATAATTTTTTTTTATTCAAGTTGAGTGATGAATACGTGCAAAATTAGCTGGTTGGCTGTTCCCACTGCGCATGAGCCAAATAAGATCATACGGTTTTCTCTTCATAATAAACACAAAAGATTCAATGAACTCCGGTCCGATGGAAGCAATCATAACCGATCTTCCTGCCTACAACTATACATGCAATGAAAAAAGTAATAACATTCGCACACAAATTGACGGTAATATAGAAACGAATTCCAAATGTCGGGACTATTGTTTTAGTACAAAAATCATTCAAATTACTCAAGTACTTTTTCAGTTAAGGAATTTTAAACACAACCACCGTTTTAAAGTTCTGTCCACGGATCACAAAAGGTGAGTGTTCGTTCAAGTAAACGAAAACAAATCACATAGGGATGTGTGTAAATTGCTTTCTGGACGGGATTAAGTGTTTCGTAGGCCCTAGGCACCAGTGTTCCGAAGAATGGAGAAGGAGGGGAAAGGACGAGGGAATGAGAACAAAGTGGAGAATGTAAATAATAAACACCGCTGCTCAAAACTCCGCGAAGTTAAAATCAGGTGGCAAAATGGGAAAAGACTGAACATGGCAAAAGATTGAACATTCTGTCATTACGGCACGAGCAACTGCCGCGCAAGGTCCCTTCATATACGGGGGTTGACAGCCACAGCTATGGAAAACACAAGCAGTGCTCGCTCGCAGGCAGTTGCGAATTGAGCTGATTCTTATTAGAGACGACTCAAAATAACGAGGGCAAATTTTGATGGAGAGTCAAGCTACAATTTTGATATTTGCGCCACAGAGCATCTGCAATCCAACAATTTCCCCGGGGCTCTTACGTGTCCTCAGACCCCACACCTTCAGGGCTTCGCGCTTGCATATAAACAAATCCACTAATATAGGATTTAAAGACCCCCCCCCCCGCTATCTGGGATCAAGGAATAGGCCTTAACAAGGTATGCGCAAAGGTACCGAGCACGTACATGCAGTTTTGCCACAATGAGATAAAAACATTACGGCTGGATTGAATTTTGTATTTTCGAGCAATTAAATTTTTTTTTTCGAACGATTACAGTACAAGCTTTCAATATAACAAATTAATCTTTTTTGCAATTGTCCTCTGATAGAAAAAAAGAAGAAGAAAATAAACTAAAAGTTATGTGGCGATAGCCAAGTCTTCAGGAGTCGGACTTATGACCCTAACTCAATGAGCCCCTTACCGACTTCCATATAGAACTCTTCTGGGTCTCGGTACCCGGCCCACCACACCTCCTTCCCTGTCCATCCATGTAACTCGAAAGTCAGGCACCATAAAGGGAGGAAACGAGGTGGCACCCTAAGCCTTGCTGCCGAGTCAGCAAAAGAACCCCGTACCTGTACGCAGATGCCAACCTGGACTTCGCAGACAGTCCCAACTTGTGAGTCAGCTTACCGACCGACCGAGCTAACTGCTGTTGGTGAATGACGACGGGAAATTAATAATCTTAAATGGCAGAACCGCGGGCATCACTGCGCAATAGTCGTAGCCTTGTTGCCATTTTGTGATTGGTCAATTAACGACGTTGAAGTACATGTACGCAAGTACGTACGGTACCATGTGCACGTACGGGCGCCGCATGTACATGTTCATCGTACAAGGCCAGATTCTGCACTAGGTTTTCTGTGACACATTTCGTTCACATAATGATACAGAAAAGGGGAAAAGAAAAATCATTTCACAAAACCCTACTGTGTATATATCTAGATATTTAAATGAACAAATTGCAAGCTATCTGCAATGATTCGTTGGACATTAATTTTGTGCATAAACTTTGGGAATGGAAGAATTACTTCTCTCTTTAAAAAGAAATTTATATTATTCATCTATATTCATGCTTTCTTTAAAAAACTATTTTATGAATGTAAATTTATTAATTTTATGTACATATTATGCGTATTAACATGATCCCTGCTTTTCTCTTCAATCATTGTTTTAATTTAAAAAAATACCTCCCTAATATCTAAAAAGGACTGATAATGCGACCGGAAAAATTACTTAACACCGTACTCCAATTCCGTATTCACTTTCATGCATTTATGGGGATGTGTCTAAACGATCTCACGATGTAATAATAGATCAATTGGAAAATTGGAAATTTATTTTCTTTACATGATGTTCATTTATGAAAACAGACCGTCACTAAAATGATTCTGAAACTGAGTATTGTATACTGAGTGCGGATTCGTGTGCGTAAGCAGCACTACTTGCGACCGCGCTTGCAGCTACTTGCACTGGAGATACGAAGACACCATCAAATGAACGTCGTTCATTGTCCAATCACAAAATGGCAACAAGGCTACGACTATTGCGCAGTCGGGCATCGAAAACCAAAAAATTACACCGAGCGGATTCGAACTCGTGACCCTGGGTCCGCTGTCAGACAGCTTAACAACTAGGCTGTTGCAGTAGCTGCTTTCTCTTCGCGTTTAAAACATAATCCTTATTTCCGCAGTGGGAGAGTTACTTGGTGTTTCATAGCTGCACAAAAGATGCATCAGCATCGCGCTATACACATGAATACTGTTACGTAACTCTTTTCTACAATCATTCTCACGTACCAAGCAGTCGACTATTCAGAGTCACTACGAGCAATTAACCTTACCAAGCTCGTCCGTATTCTGTTACATCAATTGTTTCGCGTCGCGCGTCTTTTGCCCGGCACTGACATTTCGGGCCGATTGAGTGAATTTCTAGCAAGTTTCCCTTACATCATTATATTTATATCAAACTACTGACCCGTTTACAAATATTCACGAGGGAATTTCGTTGTCTGATTCTAATTTAGCTGGGAAAAAAATCATCTTTTCTTGTACTTACTCTAAGTATAGGGAATGATGCCATTATAATACAATGCCATGTTAACGTCAGCCGATGGCATGATTAGAATCGTGACTACGCGAGTGCAATGACGGCCAGTGGCGTAAATCTGTGCCGGTGAGTGGGGGGGGGGGGGGGGGGATGGGGGATCACCAAAGCCCGGCAGTGGACATTCGAAAAGCTTCTCAAAAGTGGGGATGGTAGATACATGTGTATCTTGATCAGCACTAATTATGCAAGTGCGAAGCCTAAACGGCGTGGGGTTCGGGGCCCGCTTAAGGGCCCCTGGAAAACTTGGATTCTTGGCGCCATGGTGTGCGATCTGAGGCAATTTTTGACGACTGTCAACGTTTTAGCTCAAGATCATCATTTAACGTCTTTTTCGAGATTGGTGCCATTAAATCAGCTGTTCTTAGCTATAGAATAAAATAAGTAGGCTACATTTTTTTTATTCAGGGATAAAATCGTTGGGGAACGACATGTCCCCCGTTCCCAACCGATCGACGCCCATGGTTGGCACCGTGCTTCAGAACGACAGACTTTACACGTACAATGTACATTTTATACGTAGGACCTATGCATACATGCTGTACAGCGTCAGTTGGTGAAATCGAAAATTCTGAGAGACACCCTAAAACTTGGGTGGGGTGGGTGGGTGTGTGTTGGGAGGCCTTTGTGATTTATGGCTCGCTGCGGTATTTTCATATAGCCCCCCCCCAAGTTTTCGTAGGCCCCCAAATGTTTCGTAAGGCCATACGCACATTGCCTACTGTGCCTATCGGGTAATCCGGGCCTGAATGTTTTCGTTTGGCTGAAAGGACGCACACCTTTAACATTCCGTAACTTCAGAAGTACTTGAGTGATTTGAATGATTCTTGTACTACAAGAGAAAAATATGAAATGGGCTTTCATATTCTAAATTCTGAAAGTGCTACACGCAGATCTCCACTAAGAAAATAATCCCGACATTTGGGTTTCGCTTTTTTTTTACCCACCCTGTACAAATTAACCCGCTGTTGCGGTCCTTCTTTTGGAGAGTTCCGAGTTTGTAAATGTTGTTTGCATCGGTCTCTTCATTAGTTCAGAAGACGACTACATGTTGCGTGGATTGTAATTGATGTGCTCGTGGATTGGAATTTAATGTGCCCACATGAAGTTTGAATTACCGGCTATTAACAACAATTGTGATGACTTGTATGATTTAATCCTTCAAACGACTGGAGTATCCAACTTTTTGTCCATATGTTTTACCTTTTTTTGTATCGCAATAATTCAAAACTTACAGTGCAATACATCAGGTTGCATCGAGACATCATTCCGGTTAACTGTCGGGACAGTGCCTATCCGTTCTGTCTCTGGACCGGTACCTTCAGTACCGACCGCCGAAGAGGCTACGGCATGCACCCAGCCATCAGCGGCACACCCGATGGACAAAGCCAAGATGGCTGCACCGGCCCCAGCGTGCCAGGCACGGCCCTTAAGAAATGGTAAGTAGCCCCACTACAAACATAATGAGTACCCAATTGAATATCCCGTTATTAAACCCTTGTATTCTCAACCTCGTTCTAAAGTTGAAAATAACCTTGATGACAAAGTTAACCCTTGGATGCCATTTATGCATTTGCATTTCTGTATTCTGTTTCGATCCATCAGTACATGGGCGTCGCGAGGGGGGGGGGCAAAGGGGGGGCACTTGCCCCCCCCCCCCCCCCCCCCGGAAAAGCAAAAAAAAAAAAAAAAAAAAGGAAGAAACAAAAAAGAAAAAAAAAAGAAGAAAAATAGGCGCCAAGACAAAGTGGTGTAAATTTAATGAGTTGGGGGGATGTCCCTGCCCCCCTCTAAAACCGATAAATCGAGAATGTGTTGAGAAATACAAGCCTTTTTGCCCCCCTCTAGAAAAAATCTTGGCGACGCCCATGCATCAGTAGCATTAATAATTAGATTGTATCGTGCATTTTGTATTTGAACGTTTATATTATGAATTATACCTCATCTGTTTCATTTATTGTGGTGTTGGTGTCTCGTAAAAAGGTTATTTTCACCTAAACACGACTGACGACCAAAATGACATGCAGTATTGTGAAGGCCCCTGACTATTCCCAACCTAGTGATAATAACCTAGATTTCTGGATATGCCGATGATCACTTACCTGCAGTGGGCAATTACCGGGGTATACAAACCAACACACACACACAGTTCGTTTTTACTATACTCATGAGGACTTGCCCCTTTTCTTCTTTTGTTCCTTTTTGTTTGAACTTTTTCTGGACAGTTCCAATATGGTTTGTACACGAAATCCTCCCGAGGACTAGTGCCAGGTCCCCCCATTTTCCCATGACCTCAGTCTGAATGGATAACCAACCCACACACATATTATGACTAATGGCTGGTTCTCACTCGGCCGAAAGCGAAGGCTTTGCAATTTTGACCTCCAAAATATTCAAGTGAAATGTGTCCGACTTTTTCGAATTCTCAAAAGTGTTCAACTCCAGCCTTGGCAGCTCAATTGCGTTCGCTGTTGCGTGATGCTGGAACCTGTATTATTAAGCATTTTAAATCACCTCATTTTTTTTTGCTTGTTCGCCAAAACTTTCATACACAAGACTTCGACTGCAGCTTAAACTATTTTGTTTAATTCATTTTTAGTCGTGGTTTAAAGGAAATATACAACATTTGCAAACATCGAAAAATAAAACTACCAAGTTTTTACGAAATACCTTACCAGGATGTTGGTAAATGATAGTCTGAATCATTTTGTAAAATTATGGCACCTGGTGTGAAGTCATTTTCAAGAAAATGGTATCTTTGTATAACATTTCCAACGGTGGTCGGCCGACCAGCGTTGGAAAAACCTAACTATTTTTCAGCTACTGCTCCAAATTAACCATTTTTTTTCAGTCAAAATTTTGTTTGCTATTGGTTACATGTTTCACGAACGGGTGCAGGCCAGCTAGACTGGTTCCCGTGCCTTACAATTTTCCATCATCTATAAATTGATCCATTTTATCTTTTGTGGAGTCGGGGAACCAGACTACTTAAACATTTTTGTTTTTCTTGGTTTTTCCAACCTTTTCGAACACAAAACTTCAAAAATGTCAGTGTAACTATATTTGATCCATATATATACTAACCCCTCAAAAAGTTCATTTCTGAAAATTACATAAAAAAACAATGATGTTCATTCCCTTTAATTCTACAAAATTCATGTCCACGATTTTTTTAATTGACAATAAATACTTTTCTTTAATTGTATAAACAATCACTGACTGTGGGAAATTGTACCTGAGGGCACATTCAACCTGCGTCAATAAATGGAATCCAATATGAAATCCATTATTGTTTTCTCTGTTTTCTGAAAATGTGCACTATTCACTGAGCTGGAACTTTAACAAGCTTTGTTGTTATTCACATAATGGCATTTGCACCGGGATTACGTAAATTCAATATTACGTTTTGCCCTTCACCGACGTATAAATTATGTATACTCAGTGTGTTACCCCCGAAGTTCATTTCATAAGCTACCGTCTTAATATTGGAGCATTTTTTGATTCCATAAAATGCACCTGAAATGTTTCATCTATAATGATTTGCTTTCATACTTTCTGTTTCATGTTCTTGAAGGTTCTGTTTCTCGTGTCGATGACGCCCCGCCGTCCTACGAGCAGGCAATAGCCAGCGGAACCACCAAAGAAAACTTTGAAGGATTGTGACGTGCAACATCGTTTCATGATTCCTTTAAATAGACCACAGTTGTGGGCGAATGAGGGCGCTGTAAGAATGTCATTTGTACGTACAAACAGTCGATATAGAACATGTTATCAAAGCATTGAAGTAAAGTTACCTCAATCTAGGAATTACAGGTTGTACAAATTATTTTGTTTTCTTTAATAACCTCACCTTTATGGCTGTGTTTACCCCCCCCAAAAAAAAAAAAAAAAAAAATAAAAAAAATAATGTTGCCCTTGAAGCACCCTTATTTGCCAAAAACAATGGTACACTGTAAAAACTGTGTTTAGCAATTAAACACTTTTCTAAACACTTTCTTGCTATCAGTTTGTAAACATGTTTAAATACTAAACATGTTTAGCGTAAGGATGGATAGTGTTTAGCTATTGAACATTGATGTTTAGGAATTGGACACGTGATGTTTAGCGTCTAAACATGTTTACAAAGTGATAGCAAGATTGTGTTTAATTGCTAAACACAGTTTTTAGAGTGTATACTATGCAAAAAAAAGTCAGGAGGAGGCTTACAACTTGATGTGCATGATTTGCAATTTACAAAAAAAAAAAATATGGGCCTTGAGAAATAAAATGCGATTATACAGATAGCGGTTATACCAGTGGTCCGTCAACGTCTATTGGAGGTCACACACTCACAAAACTGGCCTCTCACCTTGTTCTCAGTCTACAGAGTCCGATTTGATGATATAAGTAACTAGCTTTTATTGTATTTTATTGTGTTCATGTTTAAGCAATTTTTAGTGTTTTCATCATATTTGTAAACCAATTTGTGTTGCGAAAGTTTCGAAAGTATACGTAAAAATTTCAGATTAATGTTTTCGAAATTAAATATCTTGAAAAGCTTTTGCCGGTTTTCCAGATTCAAGTTAAATAAAAACGATTTTTTTTGGCGGGCAAGATTTCAATCTTCAGAGGTCAAAAGCCTGTTCAGATTAATAATCAAAATAAAATTAATGCAGAATTAGTCAGTTGGGGAAAAGTAGGATCTGAAATAATTAAGATCTTGTACTTCATAACGAATGCACCTATGTTTTGCTATTGTTGTTAACTTATTTTTGAATAAAGTTATTTGTAAGTTATTGCTGAATGTTTATTGTTACGTACTACTTGTCATTCGATTTTCTGACTTACCTTGAAAGTGGCAACGCATCTTGATAATGCTTGTTTTCATGTTAGTAACTTCCATGTATAAGGGAGGGATGAAATCCCACAACAGGTTTTCATGGGCCGCGATCTGGGAGGGGGCATGTCACATCAATATTTGAAGGCAAGCAACGCCAATTGGGATCTGCCCTCCTCCCCCACAAATAAGCACACGTACAGTCACCATTTGGGGGGCCCTGGATATGCAGGGACAGGATAGGTTGCTCATAGTTCACCGAAGTTTATGTTGCTTTGTCCTGGTGGATTCACTTCCTTTGTGTATTTCCTCAATGTCCCTGTCAAAGCGGTCATTACGCCTACCGGGGCTTCCTGGTTGTTTTTTTTGTTTTTGCAATTATCCCTGACTCTGAATTGTGGGAGAAACATAACGACTAAAAAGTACAAACAAAAGAGGGACAATAGGGGGTCTCCGATTGCAGGCAAATATAGCCTTGGGTGTGTGAGTGGAACTAAATTGACCGGCCATGACAAATTTTGCCATGACAAAAGTTTGCGTGTGTGAAGGTCGGACCTTATTTGACGATAAGGGCGTTTTCCCCCTGCTACGATGTAGCCCCTTCCCTCTATATGTTTTACGAATCAATAGAAGGGAAGATGTGAGTAGCATCGACTTAAAAACAGTCGTCTCTCTCCACTTTTCGTATAATCATTTAAATTATTGATATTGCCCCACCCCTCCCGTCAGTCAGTGAAAATGTTACTTCATATCACCTTCTACAGTAACTCGACATTAGCCTTATACAATATAACTTGACACTGTAGCGGTTTACTATAGGCTTACTTGTTTTTAAACTAAACTGATGCCAAAAATAAACGTTTGTGTGTAAACTCTGCCCATTACATGTAATTGGTTTCGTGTACTCAATCAACTAAGGGAAAGAAGAAAAATAGTAGCGCTGTGAATGAGGAACAAACGTGTGGCAACTTTAGTGCTTAAGCGGCTTCTGCACCGAGCCCTCTTTGAAAATATTGTCAAAGCTTTTGCTATGAAATAAGCATAAACCGTGTTACTACCAACATTAAAAAAGCCTCAAACACCTCAAGATTAGCAATTTAAAGCTTGACGCATTTTGGAACGCAAAGATATAGTGATCGCTTTAGTATATTGTATGTTCCCTTCGATCACACCCTACCTAGCAATTGCTGAGAACAGGAAAAAGATACACAGCGCAACACACAACGCAAACTGAACATCGAATATATCACGGCCGGGCAAGTCATTTTATATCAACCAATCACAGTTAGTTATCCAACTAGTCGGTGATCACAAGTGAGTGGTATGTCACTCTGGCTATTTGTGAGTGTCAATCACAAATCACGTGTTTGAATTGTAAATAAAGCCCATACTGCGTGCCAATGTCTCATTAATATGAAAGAGTCAGTGATGTCTGATTGACAGCGCGCAAGGACCAATCACCAACCAACCTAGGCTCCTCGGTCACTGCTCAGGAAATATAAGGCAGAACCGGCCGCTACACTCCTCACAAGACCACCGCTGAGCTTCATCTTCGGACGACAACCCAAAGAGAACTGACTGCAAGAACACGATTACAAGGTAAGGCTCTGCTTCTTTGCCATCCACATTAAATGTTTGCAAAGAAATGTTGAATTTATGCCGCGTAAAAATCACACAGTTGTTTTCAGGCGTGATAATTTACGTACACATTGCTAGTTTAAGATTGCTCGTCGTGCAGTGTATTGGTAAGCAATAATGACATCACTCTAAATCCAAAGAAGTATTTTCAAAACCTAACCTGATCGGTTTTCAGCCCTGTGAATATTACACTTTTCGAGAAAACACTCACACCCATGCACATTTTGTTTTGTTTTTGTCATCACGAAACTCTCTTTATTCTGAAAATCAGTCTTTTGAAAGATCATTGGAAGTCATCTACAATTCTGAATTTGTCTTAAGTGACGGACTACTTTCACAGGGTGTTCGGCAGTATTTTTAATCTAACTTAACCTAGATCACGATTCGGAAGGTTACTTTTTCGGATAAATGCAAATGATCATACACGCCTTTAACTATTGAATTAAATTAATCCGCAGCTTTAACGTCCTATATAATGGAAGCATATGACAGTAGTAGGTTGAAGTCAGCCTTTGATTATCAGTCTGTTCATATTACAGAAATGTTTAATTTTGACATAAATGTCTCAAATGAAACTATGATATTTCTCCCCACTTTTACCGTACCTGCGGAACGTTTTGGCAGTTGTTTGACCGTTAAAAGCGAACGTTATTGAAACCAAGGCTGACTTCCAGCCTGGGGTGTTTACATTAAACGTTGATGAACTTTTTTGGAAAAACGTTTTTTTTTTTTCTCTTCTATTTCGTTTTCTAGTTCTCTAACGGTATGTTCAAAGTTGAAATGAACAAATGTAATGCCTTTTATTGTTTGCAGTTGAACAAACTATGTGGAATTCTTTTTTGGTGCTTGACATTTTCCTGAAATTTCTTATATAAACCAAAATCCTATCTGCGAATAATATCGCGGTAAAAACTGTTTTTTTTGTTTTTTTTAGGGGGGGGATACGCCCAAGAGTACGTGAACGTGGAGTTCAAGAACCCAATGAGAGAGAGAAAATTTAGCTAATGGGGGTGAGGTGGGTTGGATTTCACATCCACAAAATGAGAGCCTTACTCTCGTCAGTGATGGAATGGAGAATGACGGGGTGTTTGTCAAAACTATCAAGCTACACTTCCTTTTGTTGTATAAATTTTCCTGATATTCTGATATTCTCTTCATGATACTGCGATATTCTCAAAATACACAGTTAAACCTCTCCTGCTTATTTTGGGGTTTTCTGCAAACTTTGCGTAAAGCCTTTGTTTTTGTTGAGATTGTCTTTCTTCTTCTTAGGCGAGCCATCAGATAACAGACCGTTCGGGTACCGGGTCCGGTATGCTAATTTCTTTCACCCCAATCGGTATGAAGCCAGAAGCCACCCGGTCACTGAAGCGTGACGCCCCAATCGGTCCAAACGGGTGACTCAGGGTTTCACAGTACGCAACATAAATTGAAGTCTGGACATTGTTGGAGGATTATTCGGCCAGCTGGGATTACCAGCGGCAACTTCTTTGAAGCTCATCACAGTCATTGTTGCCTACTGGAGGATTAGCGCTTCACAAATTGGTTCCTTTGTGATGAGCCAGAGCCATGGTGCAGAAGCATGGTGGAGTTAATCCAGGCCGATCGGTTCCATGCAAGGTCCCAATCCCTTCAACATACTGGGCGGGCTCAACCCCGAACGGTCCGGGGAGGGATTCTAATTTGAGGGTTCGCCTTAGTGTTCTATCCAAATCCCATAGCTTTTGGACATAAAATTTGCAACTTTGGAAATAAAACATGGTCATATCCCAACGAAACAAAAACAAGGAACAAATAGTAAATTCGTCCATATTAATGTAGCGTCATCATGACGTAATTAAGGGGTCCTCTGACGTCATCTAAAAGTTGCACAGTTTAAAAGTCCTTTATCTCGAGAACTACAAGTACTATTGAGTTCAACGTTTTATATACGTAGTCAGGGAAGGTACACAGATACAATTTGAGATGATGTCATGATGACGTTATCATATGATTTTATATGAACCTTTGAAGTTGTGACAATTGTCGCAATATCTAACGATCTCAACATGTTACAACATTATTTTGCATTAGGTTTTGAAACGTCATAGACACATGCACACAATTTCACCACAAAAATTGTTAGATCATCATGACGTTACCAAATATGTAATATTTTGGGGGAAAATGCAAATAAAGTACAATGCGATCGTTATGAAACTTGGTCGGTAGGTAAACATTGTTACCAGTATGCAAAATCTGAGGTGACGTCATGATAACGTTTTGAAAATATTTTTTAGGTGTTTTTCTTAACCATACACTATTTTCGTTTCATTGAGGAAAAACGATCCTCTCATATCCTTGTATAGTAAACTGAAATTGTAGTAAATTGCTATAAACAAACTGATTTCAACCTTTCTTCATTTAAGTACGCTTGTTAGGTCATGTATATTT